GGTGAGGTAAACAACCAAAAGGGTCAGGTAAACAACCCCCAGGGTGAGGTAAACAACCAAAAGGGTCAGGTAAACAACCCCCAGGGTGAGGTAAACAACCAAAAGGGTCAGGTAAACAACCCCCAGGGTGAGGTAAACAATACTTCTGCATGAATGTTGAGTATGATCGTGGTGGTAGCCTTGCCAGTGGTAGGCATCCAGAGAGTCTGGTTGGTATATAGCAGGGAAGAGTATAATTCAGCTGAGTTGTGAGCGTAACTAAGCTGGGACTACAAAGCTTTCTAAACAGCAACAACCATCCTGGCTTCACCATAACAAAGGGATATATGACAGTACAGTAGTGAATGACATGAGCCATGCTCGGTCGTATGTGTGCAAATGTTTTCCATGCTGTCCACAGATTTGCCAAGCACGACGAGATAGTAGATTTCTGGGAGTCGCTGGGTGTGAAGAATGCAGATGTAGTATTAAAGGTATCGCACGACTACCATCTTACATCGTCCTAGAATCGATGCACATCTAAATATGCAAGCATGCACGCAGAAAATTGCACACCTAAATCTGCAGGCCTAAATTTCTATACTACATACTGATGTGAAAAATGTTGTCATAGAATGCACCATTTTACATATATAGAATTCAAAACGCTTGTCTTGGTTGTGTGTTCAAAGCCCCTTAGGCTTAGCACCACCAGATGCCTGCGGTGGTAATCTTGTTTACTGATAATTTTCAGTCCCAAATGAATTTTTGGCCAGTGCATCCCTGCACAGCGATTTGTGCACCTAAATTTAACTTGGATTAATTGCCAGTCCGGAGTTGTGTGTGTGTGCAGGATTGCACAATTTTCTCTGGTGGAAATTTTCGCACCTAATTCGTGCACACGAGTCTAGGCACTCAAAATTAGATTGAAACAATGTGTGCATCTCAATTTGTGCCAGCTCCGAATTTGTGTATGCGATGTTACGCAGTCAGATTTGCGTGTCTAAATTCATCTCAGCCCCGAATTTGCACTGACAGATCTGCACGTGCAGATTTCCTTATGCAATTTGTTCAAGAAAGTGTGTTTGCCTGAATTCGTGCATGTAGATTTAGGGGCGCAGGGCCCCGTGTGGGCAAGTATAGACATGTCAATTCGCGCACCCAAGTTTGCAGTCACACACTCGGAAGGCCGGTGATCGGCACGTGCATGCGTGGTCCCGCTCGCTGACCCTGCGTGCGCTCGCTGCACCTCTTACAGACTCTCTTTACTTTCTCGCTGTACTTTCCTCGCTGACCTCGCGTTGCAGGGCCTGCTGCCGGCCAGCGGTCGGAAGGTCAGCCTGCAGGAGCTGTCACTGTCCCTGCAGCGAGAGATGGCGGGCAGCGGTGGACAGCAGTCTCCACGGCTGTGCGCCGCCTCGGCAAGCTACGTCGCCGAGCTGAAGCACGTCAGGTAAGCACAGCGCGCAGACATGTTAGAGATTCCTCACCAAAGCTACAGCCACAGCTACAGCCACAGCTAAGCTAAGCTACGCTACAGCCGCTGTGTTGGCGGGAGTTAACGCCAACAAGTGATAATGATGCGAGTGCTGACAGGAGGGGAGATTGCCAGGCAAGGGGGGGGGGGAGAAAGAGAGAGAGAGAGAGAGAGAGAGAGAGAGAGAGAGAGAGAGAGAGAGAGAGAGAGAGAGAGAGAGAGAGAGAGAGAGAGAGAGAGAGAGAGAGAGAGAGAGAGAGAGAGAGAGAGAGAGAGGAGAGAGAGAGAGAGAGAGAGAGAGAGAGAGAGAGAGAGAGAGAGAGAGAGAGAGAGAGAGAGAG